GATGGGATGTCGGGGGGATCATTTCTTGGTTGCAGCTCATTGACGAACAAAGGTGGGAACATCTGCTGGTCATCGCATTGGTACACAACCGTACTCGTGATTTGTTTGCCGTTGGATGTTCCTCGGACAACAGTGTGCTGAGATTCTGCAGCAGCTCTTCGTGGTGCTCCTCCTCTACCACCTCTGCCCCTATATGCTCCGCGTTGGGCAACATTAAGGCGGTTGGACTGATCACCCAGGGGAGATTCCCTGCGAATTATAGGACTTCGAATTTGAGGATTAGCTACGGGATTTTTGTCCGGCTGCTGAACAGTACGGATTCTTGGCAAGGCGATGTTATTGTCCTGAGCATCCGGGATGGGAGGAGGACCTTCCTTAGGAATTCCTGCCTCCTCACTTTCCAGGATTGCCAATGAAGCAAAACGGGATGGTGTGCCTAGGCCGTGATTGTCAGGATTGTTGGGTGAAGGAGGTCTGTTTGGATTTGGCCGAGTACTTCCTCTTCTCAGCCCTCTTCTGTCTCTCCTTGTCACTAGCATCCAGGATCCATAATCCGCAGATAGATCCCGTTTTGGATGTTCAGAATGGCTCAGAGGGATATATGTTGTTTCTTGTTGGATATGGCCATCTTGATTCTGCTTGGCATTGTCTACGGATGAAACTTGGGCTGTCTGGGCATTGTTTTTGCCACATTGGTCTTGCCTATGGCCGTAGCGGCCACAGGTGAAACAGATGAGATGTAGTCCTTCGTACTCTATAGGCCATACTTCGTCTTGGAGAGTGAATTTAGAAAGTAATGGTTTCGAAATATCTAGCTCAACACAGACCCGAGCAAAACTACCTTTCGAGACAAGGCTCGTGGTGGTATCAAATTTGATGGGGCGGCCAACTGTCTTGGCAATCTTGGACAAGAATTCTTCTTCGAAATATTCAACCGGCAAGTCAGGGAACCTTACCCAAGCAAGCAATTTGCCGATCTTGTTTTCACGTGGTCTGAAGTTAGGTTCCCATTCCTGTACGACGACGTAGTGATCTAGGATACTCCATGGACCTTCAAACTTAGCGAATTCGTAATCTCTTAAGGACTCAAATCTGGTGATAAAATACTCGTAATTCAGCGGAATGAGGTCGAAATTGGCTTCCGGTCTCCACATCTTGTGGAGGCGATTGAGCAGATACGAGTAGCCCACCTTCTTTCCTAGAACTCGGATGATGAGGGAGCGACGCCAATGTCTTCTAATTCTTTCTTTTTCTTCTTCAGAGATTGGAATGACCGGGTTGGTACTTTCGGAGTTATCGTCACCCATAGCCTCGTCTTCAGGGCTCTTGCCGTCTGCCTGAGAGTTGGCTTCTACATTCTGTGCCCAAGTGTGGGTCGGAGTATCAGAAGGTGTTTTCCATTGCCCTGAATCTGGGGATCTCAAGCCGTGTTCAAACTGCAAGTCTTGGGTAACATCTTGAGGGTCGTCTGGCATCCCCTGCGTTGTGAGGGATTGCGATTCGTCTCTGCCTCTTTTGGGTTTCTTCGAGCTACGTTCATGCGTGCCAAGTGCCTCCGGCGACTGATGGGTCGCCGTTGGTGAGAGGGTATCGGACAAAGTTTCCGTTACCGTTTCAATTCTTGGAGCTTTCTTGGAGTTTCCATCATTCAATTATCTTACAAGTTGTATTTGAATCAGGGTTTTGTTTGTTATTATATATAGTATAGATATATAATGGTACCCGGGTTGGACTTCCATTTGGAAGGTTGTGAGTTCGAGCCTAAGTGAAGGCGTTATTGGCTCTTTGTGTTTCAGTAGGTTGAGAAAGTATATGAACAGGATAGCTTGATTGATTAGAATTGTATTACACTATTTTATATTATTAGAATAGAATATTAACGCAGAATTATTATACGAATGTGAAAGTAGAAATCAATATATTTTATTAGGACAGAGATTTTTTAGGTATTGGGCGGTAATTTAAAATTTCAGGATTTTGTTATTATATATATAGTATAGATAGATAGATTGATTGATTAGAATAGGAATTGTATTACATTATTTTATAATATTAGAATAGAATTTTAACGCAGAATTATTTTACAAATGGTAAAGTAGAAAAATTTCAGGATTTTGTTATTATATATAGTATAGATAGATTGATTGATTAGAATAGGAATTGTATTACACTATTTTATAATATTAGAATTGAATTTTAACGTAGAATTATTGTACGAATGAGAAAGTAGAAATCAATATATTTTATTAGGAAGAGAGATTTTTTAGGAATTGGGCGGGAAGTTAAAATTTCAGGATTTTGTTATTATATATAGTATAGATAGATAGAAGTATAGATAGATAGATAGATAGATTGATTACAATAAGAATTGTATTACACTATTTTATAATATAATAGAATTTTAACGCAGATTTATTGTACGAATGGGAAAGTAGAAATCAATATATTTTATTAGGAAAAGAGATTTTTTAGGAATTGGGCGGAAAGTTAAAATTTCAGGATTTTGTTATTATATATAGTATAGAGTATAGATAGATTGATTGATTACAATAGGAATTGTATTACACTATTTTATAATATTAGAATAGAATTTTAACGCAGAATTATTGTACGAATGGGAAAGTAAAAATCAATATATTTTATTAGGAAGAGAGATTTTTTAGAAATTTGAGTGGGAAGTTAAAATTTTAGGATTTTGTTATTATATATAGTATAGATATAGATAATATTTTTTATTCCTATTCTGTGAATCAAATATATACGGTAAAGAAATAGGATATCCTTCCATGCACATATCATATGTATCACGAATAGGATGTCCTTCCCATCACGTGCACACTTAAATTTTGTGTTTATATGAAAGCTTCTAGAATCAGATGATTCTCTTGCAGGGACGGAGACAAAATTTGTTAGTTTGAAGACTAATTATACTTTGAGAGAGAATAATGATGAACTGGAAATATTTAACTCTATAATTTGAGGGTAAAACTTCTCTACCAATTTACAAACGTCATCAATTTTGAATAATATACGCATTTTTTTTGGATCTAACGATGAACTGAGAATAATTAATTTCATTGCTTTATCATCAAATCTATTGCTCAACTCTTGTAAATGAGAATCAATCACGACATTAAAAATATCAAATTTGTAATGATGTCAATGGTTAATTCATCTTGTTGCCTAAATCTTCCTCTTCTTGCAATGTATCGAGCATCAAAATTCGGCACAATTATATATGTTGACAGTTTCACAAAAAGACTTCACACTTGCAACTAATTCATCCCATTCACTATCTCTTAAATTTTGAATAAGCAACTTAGTAGATGACACAAGATGCATTGCATTCAATATTTCTTGAAATTGAAGTTAATTGCAAAGCTTGGCAAAGCATATTAGTTCAAATGCTATTATATCAAAGAAATATAAAAATCTCACTTGTTGTGACCAATGATTAAGAGCCATGAGTCGTCAGTCCACAAGGAATCACCATTCACCAAAGAGCAAATATTTTTAAAGGGAAAATGGCACTTTTTCCCCCTATGTTATATACTTATAGCACTTTTTCCCCCTCAATTATTTAAGTGGCTCTTTTTCCCCCTGAAATGTTAAATGGACATATTTACCCTTAAAATAAATATTTCATTTATTTTTATTCTCCAATAAATTATTACTATAATTTGGTTCAAACCAGATATTATAGTAACCAAACCAAAATATTCCAATTACAATTTATAATCAAAACGCGATATTTAGAGTTTATTAAAATCACGAACTGGAATGGGCGGTTCATGTTCCAAACTGAAAAAATAAAATACATTTATTGTTGAATTTAAACTATTTTAAAATAAAAAATAAAATTTTAAAATAAAGACGGTTCAAAATCGCGAACGGGATCCGGAACCGTCGGTTCATGATCCAGTTTTTTTTTTAATTCTTAAATTTAATAAATTGAAATCCAAATATTGGGTTCTAGATCTGAATCATAACTGAAAATTTTTAATTCGATTGCTATAGTGTCTGGTTCAGTTCGAACCGAACCGTGGTAATCGCTACATATACGCAATAATTTGTTGGAGAAGTAAAATAAATAAAATGTTTACTTTAAGGGTAGAAATGTCAATTTAATATATTAGGGGAGAAAACCACCACTTTTAAAATAATTGAGGGGGCTAATGTGCTTACATAAATAATTGAAGGGGAAAAAGTGCTATAAGTATATAACATAGGGGGAAAAAGTGCCATTTTCCCTTTTTTAAATATGGATAGTTCACATATAAACATTGCCAAAACCCTTTAAACAAATTTGAATTAAACATGTGGATCAATAAGGAAAAAAATCATTAATTTTAGAAAAAAAGAATCTGGGAATCAAAAAAAGAATAAGAAATATGTATAAGCCATATTTTTGGCTTATACATATTTCAAGAAGAAGATATTTTGAGCATGTTAGACAATATGTGATTGTGTATGTTCAAGAAGAAGAAATTATATTTTTGGTCCCGACTAATTGCGAATCAAATAGAATTTTGAAAGCTTAGTTTGAAAGTTTTTGTTTGAAGCGTGCAAATACTTTAGTGAAGAAAGTCAAAAAAATAATAATAATATACTTTTAATATATTTGAGAAAATAGCACTTTTCCCTCTGAGTTATATACTTTTGAAAATTTCATATATGGAATCAGAATCGAAATTAGAATCGAGTAAAAATTAAATATTTGATAGTGATATTAAATTTTGGTGAATATATTTTGTTGATGATATAGTAGAATTAGAATGATTACGAATAATGATTTTTGGTAAAACAAAAAATCAAGATAATTAATTGATAAAAATAAGGTTGAGCTGTTGAAGAGTTTGCGTGTTCTTAGTGATAAAATTTGATAAGGTTTAAGAGTTTGATCCTTATCAGTTTTTTGTTTGTTTTGGGCAACCTTTTCTTAAGGAAAGCCGTTACACACACAAACACACACACATATATATATATATATAATCAATCGTCACTTTCATCATAGCGAGTAAACACTTCTGAACTGAGTTCTTACTGAGTAAACACTCTGAACTGAACTGTGATAATCGCGATCATACCTGGGAGATATGGCGGCTACGAATATCCGCATACCGAGTCGCATGCTGTTCATCGACGGCGAATGGAGAGAACCTGTCAAGAAGAATCGTCTTCCGATTATTAATCCCGCTACTGAACTAGTCATTGGTTTGTGATCGAAGAAGAGGATCTGATTTTTATGAAATACTTGGGTGGCGTAGAAATTATTTTGTTTTATTGAGTGTATTTTGATGGAAAGTGTGACTCTTTTAGGTGACATTCCGGGAGCTACAGCGGAAGACGTGAATATAGCGGTGGAAGCTGCTCGGAGAGCTCTCGCCGGAGAGTGGGGCTCAACGACAGGGGCACAACGGGCGAAATATTTGCGTTCTATTGCTGCAAAGGTTTGTTTCTTTGTGTTTTCTGAACTAGTATAGTACTCTAGAAGCAACAATAGGAATGATTATCATATTTGGATTTTTAAATTAGCGATGTTTTGATGAATTTTTAATATACTGTATTCAATCTGGAATAGTTTGTGTCTATACTCTATAGTTTGTGTCTTTTGGAATTCTTGAAATTGGGTAGATTTCTTCCCCACTAAAAAGTTAGGTCTGAGAAATTGTGGGCCTTCTATGTACAATGTGGGCAAATTGTATTGTGCCTTCCCCACTAAAAAGTTAGGTCTGAGAAATTGTGGGCCTTCTATGTACAATGTGGGCAAATTGTATTGTGCGCCCTAAGAGTTCAGGTGTATTGTGTTTAGAGTTAATGTGTATTATGTATTATGTTTATGTGTATTCTACCTACAATTATGTATATACGAAACGCATTGTAATAATTAATAATTGGTACAATGTGTCAACTTTTGAGTTCTTTTCGTTTCAGTTGGCCTTGAGAATTCATTCTTTTGACAGCTAGTTGTTTGATTATTCTCCTTTGCATGAATTTGTCAACTCCTTTATGTACTATGAGTAATATAGAAACACACAACAAATTTAATAATAATAATAATAATAATAATAATAATAATAAAACCAAAAGCTAGTTTTGCACCTGTGTCCTAGTAGTGTTTGCTCCATCAGCTTACACTTTACATTTTGCATGAAGGTTAAGGAGAGGAAGCCTGAGCTAGTACCACTTGAATCCATTGATAGTGGGAAGCCGTTGGTGGAAGCGGATGCAGATATGGTACATTTCAAGTCACTGGATGAATAGCTTCCTCTTCACAGGATATCCAAAGCCCTTATATGTGTTTCATATCTTTCAGGATGATGTTTCATCAACGATTGAGTACTATGCAGGCCTTGCTGAGGCTTTGGATTCAAGACAAAAGACTCCTATTCCTCTTCATTTGGAGTCAATTAAGAGTTATGTTCTTAGAGAACCCATTGGGGTTGTTGGGTTGATTACTCCATGGTATGTGATTCCACTACATAAGTTCGTATTGCATCTCTTTATAAGCACATAGATCAGCCAGAATCCGGAATGAAACTTCTTCACTATGCACGAAGTCTTTGCTCAGATCATTTCTGCCTGCTCCATTTTGGTTCTGTAATCACTCTCATTAACAAAAGTATCTTATATCAGCATCTTTGTCCATTGAGTGCTATTCTTTTTATCACTGTGTTAATAGCCTATCTATAAAAGGTCATAGCTAGTCTCTAAGCTTCAAACTCAGCTTCAATTTCATCACGTTTAGTGAAAGGATCTGCCCTCTGTTTATCCGTCTAATGTTTTCAACATAATGTTTGGGATGAACCTTTCAATCATGTTCCCATCTGCTTAACCTGGCTGCTATAGTTAATTGAAAGTAATATTGTCACTCAGGAGAGTAATATAGGATGTTTTATGATGTCTTGTTATCATGCCACTTACTCCCTGTTTATGAAGCACACTACAGTGGGTATATTTTAGAAGCTGCTTATTTCATCTTTCCTTGCATAAGGTATACATGTGCATTTAGCTAAGAACTTCAAAGAAACACTGGCACACTGCTCTTAACTTTGTCTTGTCTGATGCTTTTGTGATAGACTTCTTTTGATATGCTGTAAAAAAAAAAAAAAAAAAAATGTTTATGGGGTTCAAAGCTTTTCACTTTCAAATTGAAGGAATTATCCTTTGTTGATGGCTATCTGGAAAGTCGCTCCTGCACTGGCAGCTGGGTGTGCTGCTATACTTAAGCCATCTGAACTAGCTTCTATGTGAGTTTTTTTTTTAATCTGAGTTACTTCCTGGCTATCTAATTTTGCTACATTTTGTCCTGAGTTCTAACTTTATGTAGTTTTCAATTTTAGTACCTGTTTAGAGTTGGGTGAAATTTGTAGAGAGGTTGGTCTCCCCCGTGGAGCCCTTAACATTCTAACTGGTTTGGGGCCAGAAGCTGGTGCTCCATTGGCAACTCATCCTCATGTTGACAAGGTTATCTCCTGTACATTTTAATTTTTTTCATTATTTATCAATTTTATTTCATTGAGCCCCATACTCTATCTTGCCAATGTATCACAGCTAAATACTTTGTTCTTGTTGCAAAGGTTTCATTTACAGGAAGCTTGGCCACAGGAGTCAAAATCATGACTGCTGCAGCTCCACTTGTCAAAGTATGCTAATCATTAAGAACTGTTTACTGGCTCTTTCATTACGCATGGTGATGTGATTTTTTTGTGATTAATTTTTTTGATAATTCTCAGCCAGTAACACTGGAACTTGGTGGAAAAAGTCCTATTGTCATATTTGAGGATGTTGGGGACCTTGATAAAGGTTTGTCCTACTTGTTTGATATTAGGAAAAAAGAATTTGTCAAATTCATTTATCTAAAAATTAGAATATTACATACCAGTTAGTATTATTGTTTTCCAAAAGGCAAATCAAGATTAAGTTATCCATTGTTGATGATAGAAACTATATAAATTAGATCTGTCTCTAACTATTATGGTTGGTCTGTGTACTGAATCAGCTGTTGAGTGGGCGCTTTTTGGTTGCTTCTGGACAAATGGCCAAATTTGTAGTGCCACATCTCGTCTTATATTGCAGGTATGGCTTAACCAATGCCTACTTACTATAATTTGTTTGGATTATGTTCCTTCTTTGAATTTAGTCCCATTGATGAGAATAATTTGTCAAAATGGTGAGAGATCCTCAACTTACTACTCTACTATTTTCCTTTACCATTATCAGCAATCAATTTTACCTAATTAATGAATAATTGAGAGAGAAAGGAGTTAACAGAAGAAGAGAAATAAGACCAGAAGAAGAGTAGCTCAGTAAGAAATGTGTAGCAAATTTCTGCTTTAATTTGATGGGTTCTAAGTGGCTCAGTAAAAATGTGTAGCAAATTTTCCGGCAAGTAGCAGTTCAAAAAGATTAAGGAACAAAATTTACAGTTTTTTGCAAAACATGGAGCCACATGGATCATTCTGTCAACTTCAAATCATATTATTAGCTTGCTTCATTTTGCAAATTTCATGAAGATTTGTTTTATGGAGTATGATTTCTCCTTATGATTCAGACTCAATAGATTAATTGGGTTAATCATTCTCAATGTCTCAGGAAAGCATTGCTGCTGGATTCGTGGACAGGCTTTTGGCATGGACCAAAAATATTAAAATATCAGATCCCTTAGAGGAGGGCTGTAAGCTTGGTCCTATTGTTAGTAAGGCTCAGGTACTAATGCTACTCTTAGATTGCTTGAGTCTACGTGAAATGTGCATTTTTAAGAAAAAGGGCAGGTTTTGTATAATGTCTTGCTATGAGTTACTAGAAACCAAATATTTTAGAAGAAAAGGTACCTCTATTATTATTTTGGTAACTTATCAGGGAGACTGGCATATCTGGGGATGAGGTTTTAATAAGCATTGCTATTCAAAATGTTATGTGCCAAGACTTCAGGAAAGTTAAGGTTTATGTAAATTTTCTTAATGGAGATGAAATCTAAATGAGTAAGATTTGGGAATGATAGAGAATGGAAGAAGAGCGTGTGAGTAGTTGAGAACTTTGGCACAAGAAAGTTTATGCACAACAATATACTGACAGTTGGATTGGAGACCATTGGCCTGTCTTTTTGTAGCTAATTAACCAGTCCAGGTTTCAAAGTATGAAAACTTATCTTTAGATAGGCCATGGGTTAAAATGAAAAAATAAATCAAGGAATTGGAATTATTAGGCTTGCTATGTGTTTGAATTTAGAAATGACACCTGACCTTATTATCCGTCATCTTCTTTTTAACATTATAATTATGAACCCTTGGTGTTTCATTTTCTGAGCCAAGTTCATGGTTAAAAACACTATAGCACTCATGATGAGCACTTTTGAATTTCGCTAAAAATGTTGTTAAAACTTCAGTATGAGAAGGTGATGAATTGCATATCAACTGCCAAAAGTGAAGGTGCTACCATTTTGTATGGTGGAAAGCGCCCTGAGGTATATTTTCTTTCTTTTTTTTTTTTTTTTTTTTGGGATAAGCTGTTAAATATAAAGTTCTATGTTTTTCAATCTGATTTCGGTGAAACTTATGTGTAATTGAATTGCAGCACTTGCAAAAAGGCTATTATGTTGAACCAACAATCATTACTGATGTGAATACCTCCATGCAAATCTGGAAAGAAGAAGTATTTGGACCTGTTCTTTGCATCAAGACATTTAAGACAGAAAAGGAAGCCATTGAACTAGCCAATGACACTGAGTTAAATCCTCCTACCTTCTCTTACATTAGTGATAATAATAATATGGGTTTAACAACTCCACACATTCCAATTCTGAAATTTATTCCCCTCTATATTGGTAATTTTCCATAGGTATGGTTTAGCTGCTGCTGTCTTGTCAAAAGATCTTGAAAGATGTGAGCGTATGGCAAAGGTGAGTTGTTTCTTATTCACAATAAGCAACCATTTATTCTGAGGAAATTCCACATTGCTGCAAAAGCTTAATCTCTACATAATCGTCATCCATCTCGAATTTGCAGGCTTTTCAGACAGGGGCAGTCTGGGTCAACTGCTCACAGCCATGCTTTTGGCAGCCACCATGGGGAGGCAAGAAGCGTAGTGGTTTTGGACGTGAATTAGGGGAATGGTAATGCAAAAGCTTAATCCTCATTTACACATAAACTTGTATTTGTCATTCTCACTTGTTAAGATTATGACATTATTTTCCTTCTCTCAAATACTGCATACTGAATCATTGAGCTAAGCCCATGTGGGTTAAGATTATGACATTATTAACATTAGTTGTACTTGACTTGCAGGGGACTAGAAAGCTTCTTCAATATCAAGCAGATTACGACATATGTTTCCGATGAACCTTGGGGTTGGTACAAGCCTCCTTCGAAGTAAAGAAACGAAGCTGATAGTGATGGAACTTATGTTGATGGAATGCTATGTGCAATTGTCTTAGAGAATAATAAGGCATTTAGACCACTGCACAACTTGAACAATGGCTTGTAACTAGTCGAACCTTATTACTTATCTCCTAGGGAAAAAGAAATTAATGATTCCATTACTATTTTCTCATTTACATTCTTTGTTAATTGCGTTCCATTATCTGTTGTCACCACTCATCAGGATGAGCTCGATGCATATTATAATAGTGTTCACAAATGCGAGAAATGACCAACTGTGGAGGGAGTTGACATGCATGATTAATGGTGTGAATGTCAAATCATTTTACCCTTTTTATTTTTTGAAATAAAGCCTACTCAATTAAGTAATCAGGAAAAGATGTTGGATACAAGTAGGAGCACAAGCGTTTTAAACCGAGAAACCAAACTAAGAATCTGCTCTAGCAAGTGTGTGGGTTTTACCCTAGATTATTTGCACTAAATTTTATTCTAATGGTGTAGCTTATGATATATGTCCCATCCTTGTTCACTTGCTACTTTTGAATTGGTTTATCATAGCATTAACTAATTTAATTTAATGTAGTCAGGTCACTTAAATAAAATTTAATGCAACCAATACTGTATTATTTATGGAAAATAAAACTTTTGGCTTCTGAATTGTTTCACTTTGAAAAATTTGGTCCATGTAAATTAATTTAAAGAAATTTAACCTCTCAATTATTCAAAATGTTGCATTTCCCCTTAGTGTTATATAATTGTTAAACTCCATTAACATATACAGTTATTTTTATTATTTAGAATTTAGAATTAATATTCACTATTAAAAATAATATTCCCATGGAAAAAGTGAACTTTAACCATTGATACTAAATAACAAAATTAACTTCATAAAAAAAATTGCTAACGAAATTTGATAATTATATAATCCGCATAAATGACCAAATTTGGTAAGTAATAAAGGGTTATAGCTTAGGCTATCTTTACCCATGCAATTTTCTCTCACTTTCAAAATGTCACATTACTAAATTTCCAATTATTAACTATTTACTCTCTATCCATATAATTCTTTCTCATTTTTCAAAAATGGACTCACTATCACATCACCCCTAAAAAAATATTTCTTTTATTAATAAATAATCTAATAATAATTTTATAAAAAGCAGCTTTGCAAGAATGCAAATGTCTAACTTCATTCAAAATTCAAAAACGAAATTTTTTGAAAATCATTTCGTCTATTTTTTGTATTGAATCTATTTTCGAGGCGGTAATAAAATAAAAATCAATTTTTTCTTTTGACTTTCAGTTTAACTCATTAGATTCAATAATAGGTTCCTTCACAAAATATCTTGAATGATCGAAAATAATGAAAAAGTTATCACACAATCGTCCAACTAGACTAAAACTAGGAATTTCTATTCTCTTTTCCATTTCTCTTTACATATTAAAAAGCCTCATCCTTGTAGCTAGTAACTAGATCGATAAAGAACCTTTGGATCTCAATCCAATACAACAATGAATCAAAAACTATTGATTCTAATTATTCTATTTTGATTCTTCTCTTTCCCTCATTGAATATGATCTACTACTCTTTTTTGTTACGCGCCCATGACCCTTCGTTCATTTAAGATAAAAAGGGTGATGGATTCCAACAACAAAACTGTTTCTACAATTATGAAAGGAAATTTCAGAGACCGCGACTCTAATGAAATTTGAATTGTAGGGCTATGAGAATCTCTTTTGTTGAATGACTTTTCTATTAGCGCTTTAGGTTGTCCTTATCCCAATCAATCTTCTCCTTACTAGATGAGATGGCACATTAAAAAAATAAATTTTTTTTATATAATGACATGATTAGCAAACTTGCTAGTTGCTACTGCAACAAATTTGCTAACCTGACAAAAGGCTCCACAACTAAGACAGTCATTTGCAATTTTTACTTAAATAATATATATATATATATATATATATTAGTTTTCATTTTTATTTTGATGTGAATGTGAAATCTTTTTGAAAGTAGAAAAGTATTGTAGAGAGATAAATAAAAAATAAAAAAAATAAAAATTACAAAATGATATAAAATTTTTGAGAGTGAGAATATTGCAGGAATAAAGGCATCCTTATAACCCAACAATGACCACCTCTGCCTGCCTTTCTTCCTCTTCCTCTACCTCTACCTCCGATCCAATTTACCCAATTACCTCTCATTTTCTCAACCCACCCCTGATGGAGAGCTCATCCCTCTGCACACAGAAAAAGGGCGCCGCCCGTTCTCTCATCATCTTCACTCTAATCCTCATCAACCTGGCGGCACTATTCTATCATCGTCGATTACTAAGGGATGCTGAAGAGAGTGCTAGCCCCCCAGCTTCCGGATACTGAGCTATACCAGTTTACGGCTTAAGGTGAGATCTTTTTCCATACATGTATGAGCTACTTTTCGGAGCTGTTCTTGGTGTTTAGGGTGGCTCTCTACTAGTATGCATCGTCTTTATGTTATATTTTACAATACAAGTTGTATCTGTATCTAGATCTCTGTTGGTTACATGGATTGTTACTTACATGATACTTGCACAGTTGCACTAAGTCCATAATTGTGTTCTGTGGAGTAATTCAGGAATTATAAAACGACTGGTCATAGTTAGCTTTGCAAATTTTATATTGCACAAATCTTAAAATCATGTGATGGACAAGGAGAGTAACGATAAATTACAGACATAAACTAGTATATCTAACAGGAACAGAGAAAACCCACCAGATCATCCCCCTCCTGTGTTAGAAGATGTGTTACAAGTTGTAAGCATTAGGATAGCATTTGAATTGGTTTCTTCCCAGCAATTTCCAAGTACCAAGACTTCCATGCTTCCATGTAATGTGAAAAGAGATCCCTTAATGCTGAAACACCAGAAACAACACAGAGTCCATTAGCATAGCTTTGAAGTGAAATTTCTTCTCTGCATTCTAAAACATGGACTGTTTCCCTTTCTCCTAAATGCCCCCCTGATGAAATCTTCATATTTAATTCAATTTTCTACAAAATTTACTGCCAAAGAAATACAGAGTATATTGTTCCTGCATAATACCAGTAGTTTATCTAACATTCAGAGAAAACCCCATTAAGTTGAAATATGCATGAAAACCCGGTAACAGGAATGTAGTGTGATTTTCTTGATTCTTTATTTCAGTTATCTTTATATAATATACATGAAGTTGATTACTTTCACACAGTAAGTCACGATGTTTCCACTCCTGTAACTAGTTAGGGAGTATTTAAAAGGATTTGTGGAAAGTTGAAATCAATACCTTGGTTGTGATACTGAGGGTGATAGGTTGATGCTAAGCTTTCCAATTCACGAATCACCTTTGTTCTCTCACCACTCTCTGAAGCTTCAAATTTAGGCACAGGTACAGGAGCGAAAGGGCCAAATTCATAACTCTTTCTGTTTGTTCTTGAACCAAGGTCCTGCTTTGGTCTGTCAAACTCATTTTCCAAATTCTCACATTTGACTTGTGCTGCTAGTTTTGATTTCATTGACTCGCCAAACGCATCCGTTGGTTTATCCAATTTGTATCTCTTTGTAGTTGTATTTGTGAGCTCAGTTCCGAATACCCTCTTCCTGGACTGGTTGCAACCCAGATTGTCCTCTGATGCATTTGCTGCTTGGTTTTCTGATTTTCCTTTCAACCCCAACCATCTAAATGCGGGTTTTCTTGTTGCAGGGTGATGAGTCTGCATGAAATCAAAAGGCCAAGGTTCGTGTTAGTCTATGTGAAGCTAAATGTAAAATTCATAGTTACATAAATCCTGTATAAATAGACTTGGCAGGTGAAATTTAAAAATCTGCAATGTATCGAATTCAAGTACATGTTTATTACCTTCTCAATGAATTTCATTGAAGACAGAACATTAGCAATATCATACAATCTTCTAACTTTAGCTGCACAAATTTACAAAATACATGACTTGTCAAAAAAAGATGCAAAATAATCCTCCAAACTCAGTTTTAAATTTAAGACCATTACTTCTATTTATTGATGGAGGTCTTCCATCTCCCAGTAATATCTTTGCAGCTTCATCAAGGCAAAGCATATCTACCTGAGGAAATAGCAACCATAGCATAAGAATTACTTCCTTTACTGACAAGTTTCCCACAGAATAGAAAGCTTTGAAATCAAAACTCAACTTACATTAGTACAGAGGAAGAGCTTAATAAAATTTCGTGTAAGAAGCCCCAAAGATTTCTCCCTTCTATTGTCTGCTTAAAGTACTCAATGTATCAGTCAATTTGGTAAAAGATGAAGGTCACTTTACAAAAAAGAATTGCATCTGAAAATACCAGGCTTAGAGGAGTCTGCCAGCTTCGGAGCAGAAATGGAGTCTGATTTCTCATTCTGACTTGAAACATTAGGGTTTGAGTGTCTGTCATCTTCTTCATCATCTGAAACCTGTAGACATGGAAATCAGGAAACAGTAAATATGTTGTATTGCAAAAATAAAGAATTAGGAACAAGTAACTGCATATATACAAGTATTGCATTCAGAGTTCAAATTAAAGAGACATACTTGGACAGAGACATCTCCACTATATGCACTAAAGCTCTCTTTTAGACCTTCCTCCTGTCCCATTATCAAATTTATTGAATTGAGATGAGAAAAGAAAACAGAATTGATAATTCCTTGCTCAGTTTAAGCTGCTAGCTAAGCTAATATATGTCTTGTTACCTTTAGTTCTTCAAAAGCTCTAGGAATTGCTTCAAACCCTTTCCATGTATACCTATTCTTTGCCTTCCTTGAAAGAACCTGAACAATTGAGGTCAAGCAAAAAGAAGAAGACACCCTCAGTAATCCAAGTAATTAATTGGATCCAAAGACAAAGTTAATGCCACATTATAAGATCTTACACCAACACTTTCAAGAACATTCACAATGTCATAGATCCTCCTCCTTTCAACCCCTAAACCACAACCAAAAACACCTCAAGTTCAACACATACACTTTCCAAACAAAAAAATGTTTAAAATAAACCATATGCAATAAATAAATAAATAAATAAAAAAATTGAAAATTAGATGAGTACCTAGTTGCCTTGCTGCATCATCAAGCCCAATAGTTTCTACACCTTCACGGTTATACAAGCTCAAAAAACTGCATAAACACACAACAATAAGCACAAACTTGGCTTACATCAACAAATACAGGCATAGAATTTAACATTTTCGCATGAAACACTTAACTTTTCAGATCCAAACAAATTACTTAGCTGAAGATATAGGTATATTCATGTGCATAAACAAAACTAACTGAATAAGATTATATACAATCCTTAATTTCTATACACTTTTAAAACATAACTGAATTGTCTTTATCAATGTCACTGTAACTATTCAAAATATTGCTTAATATTTGGCATTTATAAGCATACCATCAAAATCAACTCCTGTACACAAATTAGAGTGAAAAATGAAATAAGATATGTAGACAGAGTACTTGGAACACAGGAGGCCGAGAGATTTCTGTTTACGGCAATAAACAGATCCAGAATCCTTGGAAGCAGAAGAAACTAAAGCCATTGCTACAGAGATCTAAATCCAAACCCTCTCCTCCACGAATTCAGCTTCCACGTATGCCTGTAGATCTGAGATTTTAACGATGAAGCGGAGAGAGAAGTAGCTTGAATTTGGGGCAGTTAAGAAAGGGTTGAGCTGTTGACAATGGCGGGGTGGGAAAACAGAAAAGAAAAAAAAGGAGGGTTTTGAAAGTTTGAATTCTATTGTTCGTTATTACTTCGAGCGGGAGTTTGAATACGAAATTTTCCTGCGCGTGTTCTTAATGAATTTACTATTTTAGCCTCGTGGATTGTTTGAAGTTTGGGAATTCGCCGCTTGCGCAAGAAGGGCTAGATGGGAAACCATGGTACATTATTAAATTATGTGGTCACGTGTCAGGTTTGCTTCAATCTGGTGTGGAGTTTCTTTTTTATTTATTTTTAATGTCACCGTTGCAATTGCCATTATGGCTTCTGGCAAAGTTGCAAAATATACCACACTTGAATTTTTTGTACTTTTGATCTTATGATTATGATATCATTAACATTTTTGATCCATGATTTTTAAAATTTATAGAACTGATTCATAACTATGACTTTCTTAACAAATTTGATCTTTCCGGTGTATTTTTCGTTCAATTTTTGCTAAAAAATTTGTACTTACCTATTTGTCGAAAAATTTTATTACCTATTTTAACATTGGTAATATTCTCTTTTCCATTTTACAAATTAATGACATTAATACTTAATTAATTAATTAAACACAGCCAGTGGTACGGTGATTTAAATTAAAAGTCACCCATTTTCAATTCCACTTTTAGTTTCACCCTCATCGCTAAACGTCAAGATTTTTTAACTGTTTATTTATGTATGTCATTAGTTTGTGAGATGGAAAAGACAATATTACCCGTGTTAAAATGGGGAATAAAATTATTCGACAAAAATTGAACGAAAAATGCACTGGAATGACCAAATTGCTAAGAAAGTCATGGTCATAAACTAATTTTACAAGTTTTAAAAGTCACGGATCAAAGTTATTAGTGACATCATAATCGTGGGATTAAAAGTGTAAAAAACTTTACCAAAGTTCTATTATATGTACTTCTAAATTATATTTTTAAATCACTTTTATTTTCTGATATGGTCAATAATTATAGATTATTTTCATCATATGGATCTTAAGAAAAATATTTATATCAATAATTTGAAAATGAGAGTTAAATTTCGGAGATATAATAATTTTCAATATACAATTTAGGAGTCAGAAATCATAATTGCAATTGGCAAAAGGTGGGTCCATTTATATATTGTATTATTATTATATTATTAGTATTATTTTATTAATAAAATAAAAAAAATTATAAGATGATATAATAGTGGGATATTTTTTATAAAGAAGATAAAGGCCCTGTTTGGTAAAATGGATGTTAGCTGATAGCTGTTTGCTGTTAGCTGATTGTGTTAATTAGAGGGTATAAATAGTTGATAACATTAGCTGATTGTAGAAAAGTGTTTGGTAAATTAGTTGTTACCTGATAGCTATTTGGAATAATTTCTTTTCTCAAAGAGCTAATTGAAAAAGTTGCTAGGAGTAGCTTTTTTAATTTTAGCCTTTTAGAGTTGCAAAAAACCTAATTAACCAAACATTTATATTGATATTTTAACTAAATCAAGCAATTAATAGTGGTCAAATAAGCCAAAATTGGCTTATTGGCCAATTTTTTACCAAACAAGGCCAAAATTATATAGATGGAGAGTGAATAGTAAATAATTACAAATTTAGTGATATGACTTTTTAAAATAAAAGAATATTACACGAATGAAGATTGCCTAATACATATGAGTAAATAAATAAATAAATATATATATATATATATATATATATATATATATATATAAAATGTCTGCTAGGCTGATACAGTATTTTGATACCACTGGAACTTCTTCTTTTTTTTTTTCAATAAATTAAATTAAAAAGATGGTAGTAGGAATCAAGAGAAAATTTCAATTTTGGTCCACTGACTATTGGAGTTGTGTTAATTGCAACACTTGACTTTCAAAAATATTAATTGAGTACCTTGACTATGCAATTCTTATCAATTTTGGTCACGTCGGCCAAATTATCGGCCAAATATGACTGGAAAATTTTAAATCAACAATTAGTCTTAAATGGAGGTGGCAAAGTCGTCATTTCATGTTTTCTTCTTCTTCTTCAATTTGGCAACCACCCATTCCCTTCCCGCAATTCCGGCGAACCCAACCATAATCTTCTTACCCTTCCTGACGGAGAATCTAATGATGAAGGCGTATGGATCGAATCCTCGCCCTCCATCTAGTTCTAAATCCTCCTGATCAAGAATGCTCGTGGGTGAACTCCAATTCTGATTCTGCTTGGGAATGGGGTTTGATTCTTGAATTCACCGGTAAATCGTGACTGCAAGTCCAGTGCCCTCCCCTCTAGTTACCATGGAACATGGAGAGCCAAAGCATGGATCGTCTAGGAAATTTCATACATCGGGAGCGGCCGGAAAACCTTGGACAGAACACACGGCACCAAACACACCGGAGAAATCCTTAAGGAATTGCCGGAAAAGCTTGACAATAACGGAAAATCAAGCCGCTAGAAATTCTTGTCTTTATCGAAGACTCCAAATCTATGAACAGTATCTTTGACTTCAAATCACCATCGGACAAAACTGGGACATGAATAAATATACATCTTTGTTTGTAAAAAAAAAAAAAAAAAAAAAAAAAAAAACACAAATCATAAAGCCATTCCAGTAGATAAACGAAAGAAATTAACCCAAAACACATGGGATTTAATCGTTCATGAACTGGGACATTGAATCCGTTTTTTCCTCTGAAACCCATCCATGACTGCAGAGTTTTTCTATGCCTTTTTATCAACTACCATCTTCTCATTTGGTATCTATATCCCCCACCTTTTCCATGTCAATTTTATCAGTTTTTTCATGAATCTACGACGATTCCGCGGCGGCAGATGATGAAGAAGAGGGAAACAAAGCGGCGGCGGCGGCGGTGTGGATTGGTTTTGTCGCTGGAAAACTTTGCAAATTTTTAATATCTTTTTTAAAAAAAAAAAACATGAACTGGCTCTTTTGTCCTTTTTATTTAATGAGTTAAAATTTTTTGGTCACATTTGGCCGGTAATTTGGCCAGCGTGACCAAAATTGATAAGAATTGCATAGTCAAGGTACTAAATTAACATTTTTGAAAGTCAAGTGTTGCAATTAACACAACCCCAATAGTCAGTGGACCAAAATTGAAATTTTCTCACTTATGATCTTTTGGTATGAGAATTAAACTTCACCCACTAAATTACTTTTCTCAAAGCTTCACTATACTAATT